TTTGCCGAAACGCGCTATAGCTAAGATAGCTATAGCGTGTTCCAGAGAAACGCGCTACAGCTATTCAATTCTGTTTTCTTTCATTTTCATTTACTTTTCTACTTGTTTTTCAGTTTATTTTATTTCCGTTAGCAGCAGCCCCTTACACGTAAGCGCGCTACAGCTAAGGAGATTAGCAGTAGCGCTGGGCCAGTATACGTGCTACTGCTAGGTTGGGCTAGCCATGTGCGCCCAGTTCAAACATAGCAGCATCGCTTTTCGCTAGTACGCGCTACTGCTAAAGTCATAGCAGTAGAGCGGTTTATCTACGCGCGCTGCTACTAAGTAGCAGTAGCGCTTGATTTTGTACAACGTTACTGGTAAGATTCTGTGTATAGGCTTTTCCCTAGTAGTGCTCAAATATTCATGAAATCAAAGATTCAAAAAGTTTCTTGTGTCCTGAATACAAGTGTGCCACATCATGAGGGTATGTGCATAGGTTATCCAAAGAGAAACTGCAAATAGTGTTGGTGCTGATGCAGCAGTGTTGGACAGTTTCTTTCGTCTCTATCTACCACATGTTGAAGAGCTGTGTTTGTGGGATACCTTTCATGAACTAGACTAGGCGAGTTTTCTGTCAATGTAAGAAAGTCAAATTTATCCACTCCCTATGGAAATTAGTAATCATTAGATCTTTTTATTGGGTGCTAACATGTAATTCACATCAAATGTGACCGTTCAACACACATTTGTTTGTAGGGAACCCAAATTCTTATTTCTCACTCAATTGCGATTTTCTTAAATGTCAATCAATCTGATCTAAGAGCCTTACTTGAAATAAGATCCAAAACAATAGGTAATCATAATCTAGGAGTAGCATGATTTGAATATAGTAAGCAACATGAAAGGTAAGTCATTACATGACCCTAAATGTGCCCGTGCATATATGTAGCAACATGAAACATGCCACCTAATAATGATAGAAGCAGGTATGATTATGGTCTACAAAATAGAAAAATAATGACCGTATGGTGGAATCGTGGAATAAAGGGAAACTAATCGTCATAATTTGAGATATTCAGTTGTTTTCGTCTATATTAGGAGTCCATACTTTCAGTTAGCCCATGTAGAAGGACTTATGCACATAGTGAATGGAACCACTTTTGGTATGAAGGAGTTTGATAGTACAAGATAAATGCATGAGTTAATTCGTGATACCTTATCTATGGGTGATAAAGCTAATTTGTGATTTGGTGATAACAAAGTGAATGATTCGTGCACAGAGAGTACATAGTTAATAAGGAGGTGACAGAGCTAATTCTTGATTTGTGATTCATCCACATGTTTAATTCATGATTCGTTATTCAGTTATGTATGCTTTCTATTCTAGTTATCTAAAGTTTGAAATAAGGAAGTGAATGAATGTCACGACGTTTGATATGCACTTGGATGGATCTTTGGAATTTATAAAGTATTCATTACTTTTCAAAAAGGTACATTAAGTTATGAATGTATTTTGATGCACATCAAAATATTTATTTCAAATGAAAAGTACTCTTCTGAAATAGCTTTGTGATGACTAATGGTCATACAAAATATTCTCTAGTTTGCAGCTTGTTGTAGTTGTGTCTTAAGTGGAGCTATGGATACTTTATTTAGATAATATAGAGCAATTGTACTTATTACATATCCCAATAGTTGTTCAACAGAAATACAAATGTGAGATTTCAATGTTGTGGAGTCCCACCAACTTAATCTCCTCTACAGAAGTACAAGAAGGCAACCACAATCACCCAAGCCTTGAGCTTGACATTCCATGGGATTCCATATCTTCCCCTACCAACAAGGCCTTTGATAAATGGCCAAAAGTATAATATCGCCCATCCACAACAAATAACTTCTCCAATATTTTGCCAATCATGATTTCCTGTTATCATCCAAAAAATGGCATGACGCCATACCCCGATAGCAATTGTGGCAATGTTCAAGATTGCAACTGTCGTCACTGGGATGAACACTGGTGAAGAGTCAAAGGTGAACCACCCTAGATCAGTCTCATGGGTGCTGGGATCACCATCTGATGTGCTTTTGTCCTTACGGGTGACCTCAAACACAGTTTTGGAGAGGCCGATTGTTTTGAGGACCACACTAAGGAAAGCAAGGAGCCAAGAGGAGATTGATACGATGCGTTGCATCCTCATGTTGTTCCACCAAGTCCGGGCTGAGAGTCCGCAATCCATGTACTCCACAAAGTTGTATATGTTGTAGGACAAGAATAGGGCTAGTTGAATGCTGAAACCATGGTTTGATGCCTGCAAAAATACTATGAATTTCTGAGGTGACAATCATCAAACTAGTAGATGGAAAAATTGTATCTTTCCCAATATGGGAATACCCTATCTATCTCTACTATATTACTAAAACAAGATAAAAGGCACGATGGAGATACATCAATCTTAAAGGACGGTAGACACTGAGGACACGAAGATAAAGTTTGTGAAGAAAGTACAACTCTAAAGATTGAATAAGTGCATAAAACTCTAATAGAGTTTGTGATATATAAATAGAACTTTATATTGGTCGATTTATTATTATATTGAAATAAAGAAAAGAGATAAGTGTAAGAGTTAATATAGCAAACAATAGGAACAACCACATGAGGATTTGTTTTAGAACTCCCTCAAATAACACGAGGATATAATTAAAAGGCCATCATCGATCAGGATGATACAATTAATTAAGATAAACCATATGGATACGAGCTTAGATTCCAACATGTACTTTTAGCTAAATTGTGCATCAATTATACCCGGATTACTACCATAAGTAAATGAAATCATGGTATAAGTTTATAATAAAATTTACTATAATTTATAATGTATAATATGCATGCGAAACAATTTGAAATCTACTTCATTAAATTAATGTATAGAATTGGCGTTATTGAAAAAACAAGAAGTATTAAATTCATAGGGAAGAGATCAATATGTAATAAATCTAGACGCACAAATGTGCAGGGCACCAAGATAGCTATTGTTGATTAGATGGCGGGTCTGTAAGAACTAAGTTGGCAGAATTATAAGATAGAAAATAGCTCTCAGCTAATTTGAATGGACTGTGAGACAAATGTTCACCTTGAGAAGGAAGGATTGGTTTCTGAAGAGACAGAAAGGTCCTAATAGTGCATAGCATAGCTCGAAAGGTGCCCTCATGGACCAGACGTAGAACACTAGGTATGCAAGGAACTGCCGGAACTGGAGGCGCTTGAAGATGGTGGCGATGATTGGGCTATTCTGCCCGAGGAGTATTTCTAGAAGGCCAGTTGCCCATCTCTTATACTGAGTAAGGCTGGCTGGTCCTCCTGTAGGAGCGCATCCCAAGAATGCTGGTGGGTTAGTGTCCAGCAGCGTGGTTTCCAACCTGATGAATGGATACGCTGCCCGGTCAAGATGTCTTCTGCCATTGACCCATAGGACCAACCAATCTGCCGATACATGGAATGGATGAATATTAATGGTTGACAAAGAACTAGGAAAAATATAGTATGTAGCAAAAAAGTCGCGATGGAATATATGTATACCTCCTGACCCCAATGTGTGTCCGTCTCATAGTTGCAGCTGGACACTTGTTTTGCCACTTGGATGCGACTTGATATGTCGATCATTGGACTTGGCGGTATTTCTCCGGAATATATGTTCCTGGCTGACTCGACCAGTTCCACTGAAGCTCCAAACTTGGACCGCAGATCCTCGTAGGACAGTGAACCTGGCAAAGTGGTTACAACCATTTGATCAATGCTATGTCTTTGGCCAGTCCTTTATCAAAAAAAAAATGTCTTTGGCCAGTGGGCCATATTATTCCTATTTAGCAACTAATAATGGTTAATATATCATGGTTGTGTGCATCACTTTTTATGCGAGAGGCCGAGGGCAAGCAAGTCTCTTTTCAAAAAAATAAAAAGGATTAACGATGAATGTGAGAGGCCGAGTTGAGCACAATGTTACCTTCTCTTTCATGCTTGATGGCCGCATATGAAGATGGTGCCACACCATAAATGATTTTCTTACGGTGAAAGCAGCCCGTCCCAAGGTAATAGATGCCCTGGAGTCCAGCGAGTCCACTGAAAAGTTTCTAAACACACCGATGCCATAGTTAGTACTCGATTTTTAAACCACACAGATGATTAACTATATTAAAGAATATAGTACTCCCTCTGTTTTATAATGTAGTGTGTATACACTTTTCCGGAATGTCCCAAAACTTTGTGTGAAGAAAAATATCTATATTTATCAGGTTATTATTACCCCACGAAAATATGTGTCGAGATGTATCTAATGATATGTACGTATTTGTTACTTCATATGTAGACATGTTTTTCTATAAATTTAGATTTGGTCAAAATTTCCAAAGATTGACATTTTAAAAGATCTATACAGACACTATAGGAGACGGTATGTACTGTATGTTATAGATGATGGAGTTGATGGTGTGCACCTCACGTAAAACCTCCAGCTGATTACCAAAAGGATCATCCTTGAGTTTGCCGTAGAATCTCTGCGGCACCTGGACGAAGCCGCTGCAGGTCTCGTCGTCGGACCCCAGCAGGAGGCACATGGCGTGCAGGACGACCTGTGAGTTGTTGACGAACATGTCGCAGTCCAGGTTCAGTATGATGGGCGCGTTTGTCATCACGGCAGACACCCTTGCCTGCGTGCATTACACGGTGACAGTATATGTTGTCAACTATAAGAGCGTTTATTTATTAAGTAATACTCTCTCTGTAAAGAAATATAAAGAAATATAAGAGCGTTTAGATCATTAAATTAGTGATCTAGACGCTCTTATGCTACTGACCAGAACATTCAGGGCGCCGGCCTTGTAGTGGTGGTCATGTTTGCGGCTCTTCTCTCTTGAAACGTACACAAGATTTGGGAAACCTTCACCTGTCCTGCTGCTTTTGCGGTTGTCCCAAAGAACCTGAAGAACAAGTTAGCAAAGAACCTGGGTAAGGCTGGCTGTTGTTACGTGCGAATCCATGTGGCATGTGGTTGTGGCTTGGTGTACGTGACGACCTTAACGATGGCAGGATGGTCCCCGCGCTCGGCCTCCATGAACTCCGTGAACTCGCCGGCGTCATCGTGCCGGAGAAGAGACCCCTCGTCCGCGCTCTCAATCCGGCTGACTAACTTGTCATACTCGCTCTGCAACCACAAACGGAACAGATGAATGAAGTAAATTGGAGAGACAGTCTGGGTGCAATAGAAGAAAGATGGAAGGCTATGACTATCAGACGGTATTAGCTAACCTTGATGAAGGTCCAGTCGTCCGAGAAGTTGTCGCGGGCGAGCTCAGGTTCCGGTCTGGAAGCGAAGTACATGAAAGGGGCCCTCACTCCCACGCCGTGCCTCTTGCAGAAGGGCACCCACAGCCCCGCGAACCGGGCGGCCTCGCGCAGCGCGTAGCACGTTACCGGCGAGCAGCCGTTGTCGGAGACGTAGCACGCGAGCTTGTCGACGTCCGGATAGTCCACGGCGAGCAAGGAGAGAACCGTGTTCACCGTCATCAGCGGCGGCTCCAGCTCCGGGTCCGCGGTGGTCACCAACATGTCCACCGCCGGGAGCTCGTCCATCCTAGCAATCCTCAGCTGAACGAGTTAAAAACTAGTCCCTCTGTAAAGAAGTATAAGAACGTTTACATCACTAAAGGCATAAATTAACGTGAGTAGTCACCTTTGTGAGAGGTTTTCAGGGTACGTGTGGAACCGAACGGGGTTCCACTTCATGTTCATGTTGAGGATCCACACAAAGGTGAACCATGCCTCGCAGACGAGTGCGGCCACCGAGGCGGCGCCGGCGCCGCCCTCTCCCAGGGACACCACACGGCAGAACAGGAGGGCGAAGAGGAGGCAGAGGATGAAGATGTCGGCGAGCTTCCATGCCGTCCTCGGCACGATGACCCTCTCCTGCAGCTTCATGGCGCTGCTCATGGCCGGCCAGAGGCAGACAGACTATGTGTGCTCTAGGATCACACGGACGGAAGTAGTGAGGCTGGAGTCGTGTGCATTTCCCTTCCTTTTTAACGACAAGATTGTGACTCATGAACCGCCATATCATTTTTATTATACTACATTTATATAACGATTTACAGTCATAGCTATTTATCTGCCGAGTTACAGTCATAGTTATACTCATTTATACTTCACAATCAATCAGTCAGGATCCGGTCGATTTATAGTCATAGCTATTTCAGATCCGATCTGATCTGCTGGATTTACACAGTTGATATACGCCCAACGTTATTATGAATCCAGGCAAGCATTATCTGCCGTATCAACAACAGCAGTAATCACAATAATGGAGATGATGATGACGATGACCCACCTAAAATCTGATTGCTGCTGATTATTTGTGGGGTCCAGCCGGATACTCGACCTACGGATTGTAGTGAACACCGGAGAGTCTTTGTGAGGGTTTCTCTATCCATATCCGGTGGTTGATGCCGGCGGCTCGTAGTGGCAACATTGCGGGACAATGCAATCCAAAAGCTACGTTGCGGTTTTTGGTGTCTCTCGCCTTGGCAAGTTTGCCTACAATGATGAGATGCAAATTTATGGACGACGGCGGCTGTCCTGTGCTTTTCCGTCGCTCAAATGAACCTTGATGAATTCTCCTTTCAGTTCCCAGATATGAGGTACACAAGGTAGCTACGGTTCGATTTGGCATGTGGCCCGCTAAACCTCGGGTCGTTGTAGAATCTTGGCCGACACTAAGGGGGAGTTGGTAGCCCGGTATACAGGTTTATTTCCGCCTCACCGGTTTATTTTCACCTCACATCCTCGCACTCTCCCCCACTGGTTTATTTTTGCCTCACCTCCCATCAGCCACTGCCACTAGATTTCTCTCTCTTACATTAAGAAACCAAATCCCATTAAAGGGGAGATGTTTTTGTGCTTTCTTTTGCATGTACGGATTCAATTCAATCACATAAATAATAGGCAATTAATAATTTAGAAATCACACCATATATGTGAAATCACCTCCTAAAAGACAGACATAAGATTTTTCTTGATAACCTTACAACCAAAATCAGATACTCATTAGTGTCCTGCCATTTATTATTTCATTATACCTACTGTTAAGAGACAGTCATAACTTTCATCATAATAGAAAAATAAAATATTTTTTTTCTTATCTTATAAAATCACATATATTTTCTTACATTACGAAATCACATATATGTCTACTATTAAAGAAGGGTTGTTGGCCGGTACACACGGTTTATTTTTGTCACCATGTTTTATTTTCGCCTTCACCTCCCACCACCACCCCTATGCTGGGTTTTTTCCTTGCATACTCACGTCGAATTTTTTCCAACTGAATCCCACTTTTTGATTTTCATACGACTTTTTCGACGTTCCCTCTTAACACCGTTCCATACCTTCCTAGATGAGTTTGATTGATGACCTTGTCTTTCCATGCAGGTTAACGTGATCCCCTTTATGTATCAAATTATGTGTACGAACTTTCCTTAACAAATAGATTTCTTTGATTGCATTTGCCTTTCCATGCGAGCGCACACATAATCTTCCTCATATAGCAATTTGGTCATGTCTTTTCTTACCTCTCATGTCTGTCTTACTCATGGCTTTGCCATGGTCTCCCATATATTTTGCAGCTCTAGCATGCTAGCCTCGGTCATCTCTTTGGCCAGATCGTCATCCCCTACCTGGGGAAACAAAAGGCCAGGCCGTCTAAGGCACCAACGGTGTCGACGCCGGATCACTTCGTGGACAGGCAGGATGAGAGTGGCTGGACGCGGTGAGTAGGTAACCAAGTATGTGCATAGAGACGCCGTCATTGTCAAAGTCTTGCCTTTGTTTGTGACTCCTCGCCCTATGTCAGTACCTATTGTTCTTATTGTTGTTTTCTACTCTAATTTTGCCGAAGAATGCCCCATTGCCCTTTAGATGAACACGTGTTTTCAATCATTTGTTGATTTCTTGATATCTGACATATGTGAGTTTTTAATACAACATTGTGCTCCTAGAGGGATACCTTGACTCGGCCGACGGGCGCGACATGATGGTGTCTTCGATCCCGCTGGACCTAGTGCTCTACCCTCATCCATTGCGTGCTCTCTCAGGCACTACGGCTAGAACTCCACGCTGGAGATGCTCGTGGTGCGGCTTCCCATGGTGGCATTCCTGCACTGGGGCGACTAGTGCACAATGTCAAGTATCTTGGTGGAGGAGTTCAAGATGGGTGTACGCATCCGCGCGCACCTGCCGAAGGACACCATGCACGACACCATGAAGGACACTGATGCAATGCTTGAAAATGCCACGATGTGAAGCACCGCGATGTCCTGCAAGTGCATAGGGCTATGTAGCAATTTTGTTATAAGTAAAGCTTTTTCGACTCCGATAGGGAGCGAATAGCATGGGAACACAACCCCCGCATCCGCGTTGTCACCAACACAACCACGCTCACACCCAAACCGGAGTTTAGAAATAGTTCACTTAAGTAGGTTGCTAGGAACGGTAAAAAGGAAGAATAAACTAAGTATTGAAGAGAACGGAAAATAAATACTAAACTATACAAAGAAAATAAACTATGAGAGGTATGTGATGTTTTAGATGAGGTTGCTGGTATCTAGTTATGGTCTCTTTCGTTACGGGCACGGAATGAAGTTAAGCTTTACGACTATGCCACATGGTTGCTAAGTCAGCACATGCATCACATGATACGATAATATAAGGATGGTGGGAGGTCCCTCACATAATGTTATCTCTCAAGACGCGTCGTATTGAGATAACTCATTCATCCTATTTCTTGTCACATACCTGTGGCGGCTAGCACAAAGATATTAAGGTCCTCGTGGTTTCAGGACCGGACGAAGGCATTAGGTTCTATGGACAACCGTGATTCCGCTAGAGTAATTGTGCTCCCCTCAAGATATCTGCACCTGTGACATCACACACCTATCGGTTTGCACAATCCTCTATATACATCATGTGTGGACTAAGAGTTGAACGTCTCCAACTACGCCAATGTATTGAACGTCTCCAATCACTAAATTACCACATAGGTAAATAAGCAACACACATAAATAGACTAAACATATCAACAACCACTTACTAATCGACCGACCCATATCCAATAATTACTCAAATAACAAGAC